GGTTTAAAAGCAAGGAGGGGAGCCTGGAGCACCCCACTACCACCACCACCATCCCCACTGCAGGGAAACCCTGTAATGCACACACAGTCACAGGTACTCTTTAAGGAAAATCCATGCAGCCAGGCATGGTGGCTGCAACTGTAGTCCCAGCTACTTGGGAGGATGAGGCTGGAAGATCCTTGAGCCCAGGAGTGCAAGGTTGCAGTGAGCTATGATCAAGCCTGTGAATCAGCACTGTACTCCAGCCGGGACAACACAGAGAGACCCTGTCTCTAAATTACAAAAAGGAAGACAGTCCGTGCAATCATGCCACATGGGATGCCCTGCAATTGGTTCTAAAATTCAGCAATGTGTGTTAAACATCTTTTCCTAAGAGGACATGCAACAAACCTCATTTCTTTTCAAACACTGTTGTATTCTGTTGTGTGAACACACTGAACTTGACTTACTCCAATCTTGTATTAATGAAAATGATCCCAAACATGACTTTTTCTTATAATTGGCTTTGCTATTAAATGTGAAGTTGAAAAAAATAAATTAAAAAAACACTGCTTACAGGTGATGGGGAAGTAGTAAAGGGCTTTGAGCGGGACACCGATGTGGTGAGATTTGTGTGCTGCAAAGCTCACCCTGTCCTCCGTGCAGGAGGTGGACGGCAGTGGAGAAGCTGGCAGGAACGGGACCCATGCAGAGACAGTCGTCCTGAGCGCTAGGGCGAAGAAGGACTAGACTGAGGCAATGGCAGAGGATGCTGGGGAGGGGCAGAGAGCTCTGCCATTGCACTAGTGTATCTCCTGCACCCCCTTCTCACAGAGCACCTGCCCCAGGGACCAGAAGGAAAGACCCAGGTCAGGGAATGGGTCTGCCCACATTAGGGGTGAGCGTGTGACCCACAACTGGGGCCCCTGGCAAGAAAAGCCCTATGGTAGCCAAGGCAACCACCTCCTGCTTGAGGGGGAACCCTTGCTGTCCTGAAAGGGGAGCAGTGTGAGACCACCCAGAGCCTGGGAGACAGAGTACCCCATCCCATCCTTGGCCACCCTGGGGCCCATCATTTATATAATTGCCTTTTGGAACCCGCATGAGTTGGTTCTCATTAGTTTTGAATTGCCATGGGGAGGGGGTTTACAGGGGAGGAGTGGGAAGAACAGAGCTGGGAAGCGAGGAGGAGCAGGTGCAGGGGACAGCTGCCAGTGAAAGGTGTGAAAACAGGCACTAGGTCTTCCTTTGCGGTTAGCTGGGTAAACAAGCTGAGTGCTGGGGTGATGAGGAGGTGCAATGGGGCGAGAGGAGGAAGAAGAGGAGGAAGGGGAGGAGGATGGGGAGGAGGGAACTTCCGTAGACACAATGGGCATGACTCTTTCACCTGGAACAGGCTACCTCCCTCCCCGTGCCTGGCCTCTCTGTATCTCCCTCCCATCCTCCTGCCCCTCTGCCTCTGGGCTTTCTGCTTCCGAGCTCTCTTCGCTGAAGGGAGCTTGCCAGCGATGGGAAGTGGCAGTGAGTGTTGCATCTGCTGCTCTTCCGGCAGCTTTTAGAGGGAAGCCCAGGCAGTGCTGCTTAGTGGGAAGCATTGGCTCTGGAGATAAATGTCGGTTCAAACAAACCTGATCTTTAGCAAGACATATCTATAAAACGTGAATAATATTACACACCTTGAGCTTGTGGTGTGGGTTAAACCGGATGGGAGGCTATTACTACCATTTTTATGTTAATGAAGACAATCAGGAATAGGGCCACCCCAGCCCCACCCCCACCCCAGCCCCCAGCGGGATCCTAGGTTATCCTGCCCGCTGTTCTGTTCAGAATTGGAACAGATGCCTCCTTGTCCCAACCAGATCCATTCCCAAAATTGAAGTCCTGTGATTCTAGAGCCTGCAAGCATCTGTACCTGAGGACACAAAATAACTGAGAGGGACATATAGCCCTTCAGAGTGTAGGAAGCAGGTCTACGCCCTGTACCTCCCTTCCTCTTGTCACTACTCTCTGGGGAATGAGCCCCTTTTACAGATGAAAAATTGAAGCTGGAAAAGACAGTGATTTGTTTAAAGTTGAAATTTGAACATTTGAAATTTGAAATGTGGGCCCGGTGCAGTGGCTCACGCTTGTAATCCTAGCACTCTGGGAGGCCGAGGCGGGAGGATCGCTCAAGATCCAGAGTTCGAGACCAGCCTGAGCAAGAGCGAGACCCCGTCTCTACTAAAAAAAATAGAAAGAAATTAATTGGCCAACTAAAAATATATAGAAAAATTAGCCGGGCATGGTGGCGCATGACTGTAGTCCCAGCTACTCAGGAGGCTGAGGCAGGAGGATCGCTTGAGCCCAGGAGTTTGAGATTGTTGTGAGCTAGGCTGATACCACAGCACTACAGCCCGGGCAACAGAGCGAGACTCTGTTTGAGACTCTGTCTCAAAAAAAAGAATTTGAAATGTGGTCAGTAGCACATATCAGGGCGCAAGGACAGAAGCAGTGAGCCTGGAGGGGTAAGAAAGATGTCCGAGGGAGTTGGGGTTCCTCACCCTCCTGTCTTCTTGTCCTTGCAGTACAAGGAACTGGACAACTACAATGACAGCACGGACCCCCCACTAGTGGAAAATCACCTCTGCTCCACTGTGGAGGGGCCTGTCATGACCACCTTCAAGGCCGTGTTCATGCCTGTGGCCTACAGCCTCATCTTCCTCCTGGGTCTGATGGGCAATGTCCTGGTGCTGGTGATCCTGGAGCGGCACCGGCAGACGCGCAGCTCCACTGAGACTTATCTGTTCCACCTGGCCGTGGCCGACCTCCTGCTGGTCTTTATCCTGCCCTTTGCGGTGGCCGAGGGCTCTGTGGGCTGGGTCCTGGGGACCTTCCTCTGCAAAACTGTGTTCGCTCTGCACAAGGTCAACTTCTATTGCAGCAGCCTGCTCCTGGCCTGCATCGCTGTGGACCGCTACCTGGCCATCGTCCATGCCGTCCACGCCTACCGCCACCGCCGCCTCCTCTCCATCCACATCACCTGCGCCGCCATCTGGCTGTTGGGCTTCATCTTCGCCTTGCCAGAGATTCTCTTCGCCAAGGTCAGCCAGCCCCATCACAACAACTCCCTGCCGCGCTGCACCTTCTCCCAAGAGAACCAAGCCGAAACCAACGCCTGGTTCACCTCCCGCTTCCTCTACCACGTCGGGGGGTTCCTGCTGCCGATGCTGGTGATGGGCTGGTGCTACGTGGGCGTCGTTCACAGGCTGCGCCAGGCCCAGCGGCGCCCGCAGCGGCAGAAGGCGGTTAGAGTGGCCATCCTGGTGACGAGCATCTTCTTTCTCTGCTGGTCACCCTACCACATCGTCATCTTCCTGGACACCCTGGCGAGGCTGAAGGCCATGGGCAACAGCTGTGAGCTGAGCGGCTCTCTCCCTGTGGCCATCACCACGTGCGAGTTCCTGGGCCTGGCCCACTGCTGCCTCAACCCCATGCTCTACACTTTTGCCGGCGTGAAGTTCCGCAGTGACCTGTCTCGGCTTCTGACCAAGCTGGGCTGTGCTGGCCCTGCCTCCCTGTGCCAACTCTTCCCCAGTTGGCGCAGGAGCAGTCTCTCTGAGTCAGAGAATGCCACCTCCCTCACCACCTTCTAGGTCCCAGTGCCCCCCCCCTTTGTTTCTGCTTTCCTTGGGGCACACAGTGATGCCGGAAGCCCTTCCAACAGGAGCTGGGATCCTAAGAGCTCACCTTGGCCAGCATCCTCAGATGGACCAACTTCTCTTTCTAGGACGTCCCTGCCAGCTCTTCTGCCAGCCAGCCCTGGGGTGAGGCTGGAGCCCAGAAAGGGGAAAGCAGCTCAACGGCAAAGCAAAGGATATCTATACCCACCTGCATCTCCTTGGGCGGAGAGGGCCCCACATACCTCCCATCCTAACCATCCAGAACTCAGGAAACAACATTTACTTCTGCCCTTGCCTAAGGGGAAAGTCGGTCCCTTCCCAGGGTACATCATCTTTAGGGCTGCTAACCTTCAAAGCTGCCCGTCTCTCCTACGCCACCTGCCAAAGACAGGAGAAGCTGAGCACCAGGGGATGACTGGAGGTTAAGGCTGGAAGCCAGGCGCGGTGGCTCACACCTGTAATCCTAGCACTCTGGGAGGCTGAGGCAGGAAGATTGCTTGAGATCAGGAGTTCAAGACCAGCCTGAGCAAGAGTGAAACCCTGTGCCTACCAAAAATAGAAAAAATTAGCTGGGCAAGGTGGCCCATACCTGTATTCCCAGCTACTCAGGAAGCTGAGGCAGGAGGATTGCTTGAGCCCAGGAGTTCGAGGTTGCAGTGAGCTATGATAACGCCATTGCACTCTAGCCCGGGCAACAGAGTAAGACCTAGAGGTGGAGTGGAGAGCTCCCAGGGTGGCCCAGGGGAGCTGGGTCGTGGCACTGATGGGGAAGGAGGCAGTTTTGTCTTCCCCCTATTCCCTCCCACAGGCTACAGGGCCAGTGGACTCGCTGGCTCAGCAGAGGGCCCCCGGCCACAGCAGAGGGAGCTGCGAGTTAGAATGGAGATGTAGACCCCTGAGGGGGAAGACAGACTGAAAGGGACCTCTGGGAGTCATCTCATCCAGCCCCCAGCCATGGCGTCACCTCAGGCAGGGGAGTGCAAAGAAACAGGCCTGGGCAGGGAAGTCCCCAGGCCCCAGGAGGCCATGCCCTGCCCCTGAGAGGATACACTCAGATGGAACCAGAGGAAGCTGCTCCGTGCTCACTTGGGGTGGGGCCTGCCAGGCAGCTCTGGGCTCTCCCCACCTCCCCGCCCCAGCTCAGGGGCGGGGAGTCGGGGACACTTGCACTTACTGAGAGCAATTCCGGTTGCTCAGCCCCACTCAGGGCAATCAGCCATGCTCCCTGGAGGCCCCTGCTGGGGAAACCACAGCTGTGGCCCAGGGGACTGTGTCTTCACATTGGGACCCTGAGGAAGCCCTGGAGTCCCAGCATCTAATAGCAGTGAAGGAGCCAGACATGGAAGCAAACAGGCAAGAGGTTGCATTTTGAATTTTCTTTTTAATAAAAAGGCACCTATAAAACAGGTCAATAGGTCAATACAGTACAGGCAGCACAGAGACCCCCGGAACAAGCCTAAAAATTGTTTCAAAATAAAAACCAAGAAGATGTCTTCACATATTGTATTTATATATTTATATTTATATATATATATTTATATAATGGTACAAAATGGCTGGGGATATGGCCATGGATGGAGGGAAGAAGTAGGCTGGCCTGTGGCGGAGGTGGGAGAAGAGGGGACAGGCAGGGCACTGGGCCTCTTACAGTCTGACCCCTCTCTCCTCAGGGCAGGAAACATTTAGAGTCAGACAGGCTGGGAAGCCTGGGGACAGGGGTGGGGGCTCATGGGCACAGGGCCCAGATTGGGGCAGGTGGGCAAAGCGCCTGGCAGGATGGAGGGCAGGCGGCCCCTGCACACAGAGGCCCCGGCCACGGCCCCTGGCAGGTGCCAGGGAGTCAGGAGCCTGTGGCCAGCCCGGAGGAAGCGTTGGGCCCGGCTGGCGGTGGACTGAGAGCACAGCACCAGACTGGGAGTGGGGCAAGTTCCCTTTACGTTACAGCTGCCAATGTGAGACCAGGCCCTGCAAATCAGGGAGGCTGGGGACGGGGTCCTGGTAGAAGACACCCTGTCTAGAATGGCCCTTGGCCCTGCCAGGGAACTGCCCCACCACCTCACAAGGCAGGAAAGGAAGTGAGAAAAGGAGAAGTTTTTTACTCCTGGGGCCAAGGGGAGCAAAACACCCAGTCGTATATGGCTTCATCTCTGACCAGAGGTGGATGGGGAGCTCTTCCGGGGAAAAGCAGGGAGCTGAGGGGGAGGCAGTGGCTGTGCCTGGGTGGGCACAGACAGATCTGGTACATGGTCCTGAGCCCTGGGCAGAGGGACCTTGCCGGTGAGTGGGCAGGCAGAGAGGAGGCAGCAGGATGCTGTTTTCCCTATTCCATCCTCAAGGGGTGGCGGCTGGAGGGGAGGCAGACTGACTCAGACAAACCCTGTTGCTTTCTTCTTTGGTAAGAAGTAGGTGGCACCCTCTGGAAGAGTCAGGGCCCTGGAGGTTCCCTGGCCCAGGGCTACTGTGGCCACAGGCCCAGAGGCATCATGCCACACCTCCATGGCTCCACTCAATGGGGCATACAGCCACCGCCTCTTCCTCCTTTCCTTCATCCCAGACTGGGGAACAAAGGACTTCAAGTTCTGGCTAAGATGTAGCAGCAGGGGACACCCAGACGTCCACAGCGGGATGTCAGGGCCCCATGTCACTGGTGTGGGCAAACACGCATGCACATACACGCATGTTCTCCCTGAATCACTCAGCAGCAGACGGGCTGCCGCCCTGGGGGTCTCAGCCCTGCTGGGGCTCACCAGGTGGAAGCCTAGCTGGTCTGACCTCAGTTTCGGTGTGGGGCATCTAGGTCATTTTACCATTTGGGGAGGAGACAGGAATGGTATCCCTTCTGGACCCAGAGACACTGCAAACAGTGGGTGGGGGTGTCAGGCAGCATGTCCCTGGGTCCAGGGGAATGGAGGGGACAGCAATTTGAAGGGGGAAGGGTTTCTTTTATCTTTTTGTGTGACGTCTATCAAAACACAGAAATACAGCACACACACAAACCGGCACAAAAGCGCAGCGCTCTATTTACAGCTACGGCTGGCACCTGCCCACCTGGCCAGCCGCCTGCAGGGAGGGGTGGGAGAGGGGTCAGCCACATCAGCAGGAAGAGGAAATGAGGCAGGAAAAGACAGAAGGAAAAACGGGGGGCGCAGAGGAACCAAAAGGAGGAAGGTGGGGCTCGAGCAATGAAGAGACGAGACAGTGGCAGAAAGGGATGGGGAAGACCTCTCCTCTCCTTCCTCTCTCCCCCAAGACCCCCAGACGGACTCCAAAAGCATAGCTGAATGGGGACAGGGTTCAGGGGAAGAGGGAAAACTGAGGCTCCATAGGAATTGGGGGCAGTGGGGAGGGGCAGTCCTAGTGGCCGAAATGGAACAAACCCCACACCAAAATGCCCACCCCACTCTGCCACCTCCCCTAAGCTGCCAGCACATCTGGTTTCCACAAATGCCACTCCCCACACAAGCCCCCTCCCACCCTCTCCACCCCACCCCTTGACCCAGGCCATCCCAACACTGGAGGGGAAGAACGTTTTAAGGTTATCATATTTGCAACATTGCCCCGGCTTCAGCCCCCAGCAGGGACTTCTAGAAGGGCAGGTTGGCCATGCTGCCCGGCGCCGGGAGGTAGCCCAACTGGCTGTCCAGAGACACACTGCGCTGCCGCAGGGGGTGGGACACCATGAGGTTCTGCTGGGGAGGGGGACCCATGAGGGAGCCCTGTGGGGAGAGCATGTGGGGGGGCTGGCTGTAGACCTCTCCCCCCACGCCCCGTTGCTTCATCAGCATGAAATTCTGCTGGGTCATGAGGCCTTGTGGAGGGGACATGACGCCCTGGTGCAGGCCGTGGGGCACCATGCCCTGCTGTGGGGGCACACCTGTCCTGCCCAGCAAGGACATCTGTCCGGGGTGGCACATGGACATGTTGAGGCCCCGTTGAACACCCTGCTGGCCCGGGAGGTTCGGGGGCCGAGAGGGGGTCTGCTCCGCCATCATGTTCTGCAGGTTCATGAGATGCAGATTGGGGGGCTGGGTCTTGGGGGGCTGGTTCTCGCTCTTAGGGAAGTACTGGAGGGTGCTGCTTGGCTTCTCGGAGGGGATGATCCTCGACAAGTCGAATTCAGGGATCCCCGTTGGGGTGGGCCGGATCACCTCGCTCAGCTCGGGGTCGTTCAGCACTGATGCCACCCCAGGGAGCACACCCGGTGGGTATGCGTCACCCATGCGCCCAGCCATGCCTTTGGCCATCAGGTGCTGCTGGGGGGGCATGGGGCCAGGTGGCTGGCTGGGCAGGTCCTCTGGGGGCAGGGGCATGCCTGAAGGGTAGTGCTGCTGCAGGCCAGGCCCCCCGCCCCCACCCCCAGCGGGGGCCATGGCACCATGGGGCTGCTGCAGCCGAGGGGGGAAGGGCACCATCTGGGAGGAGCTGGGCACAGGCCCGCAGGGGGCGTTCAGGGAGTCTGGGCCTCCCGGAGCCATCATCATTGAGTTTTGAGGGGGCCCTCCTGTCCCCTGCGCATTGGGGTGCAGTGGAATGTTGGAGCCCAAGGGGGTGGGGGAGGGCAGCATGGTAGGCGGGGGCTCATGGGACAGGGGCTGCTGGCCTGGCAGGTTCATGCCCATGGGGCTCTGGGCAGCAGCTGAGTTCAGGTGCATCTGGCTGGGCTGGTTGCTGCTGATCCCTGCGGGGAAAGAGGATGAGGAGGTCAGGTGCTGTGTGCACCCAGAAGGAGTAGGGCGCACAATGCAGTCCTCCCCACACCCAGCCAGGTAGTGCCAGGGGTCACCAGTGGCTTCCCCTGGCCGGGAGAAAAGGGACTGGAGGTGTTTAAGCCAGAAGCCAAGAGACCAAGTTCGGGCCCAGTTCCCCATGGACACATGGCTGGGTGTTGGCAAGACCACTCAAGTGCTCTGGGATGGGCGGCACTGAGTGACTGCAGTGGGTGGAACAGCACCCTGGGACCTCACCCCCCCGCCCCCAGGGCCCTTGAGAAGCACAGAAAAGCCAGCATGTCCACAGGGCGACTCCTGGCTGTGCCCACTCTCCCCACTCCCAGCGCCACATCAGCGCTTCTTCCCCTGCCCCTGCCTGGCCTCACACCTGGCCCGGAGCCCTGCGGCGGTTGTGGGGGTGGTAGCAGGGGCCGGTCAGGCAGCAGCTCATCATCTGAGGTGGCGATGGTCTTGATGGCATTGTGGTAGAGCGGGGTGGAGCTGGGCATGGCGTACTTGGACATCTGGGACATCATCAGTGACAGGGGGTTCTGGGAAGGCGTGGGGTCTGGGGAGGAAGTGAACGGTAGGCTGGGGTTCATGAGGCTGCTGGGAGGGTTGGCGGGAGGTGCTGAGGAGCTGCTCCGGGGGCCGCTAGGCGGGAGGGCACCTAAAGAAGTGGACAGATAGAGAGCAGGGCGTGACTAGGAGAGGAAGATAGATCCGGGTGGTCGCACTCGGGGGTTCAGGAAGAGTCAGCTCCCCAGATGCCCATCTGATGCTCCAGGCACGCCTATGTCCCACTGACACAGGCTCCTTCATCACGACAGTCCCCCAGTCTTCAAGCAACCCCTGCACCCTCAGGGCCTCAGACGCCGGAAAGACCCCCAAGTCCCAAGTACATCCCCTCTAAATGCCTGGCAGATAAGCACAATGCCCCCTGAGAAAGGCCAACACAGCTGCCACCATCGGCCCTGCAAGAAGACTCACCCACCTCTGTGCCCTGATACAGACACCTTAACACACTGCCCAGCCCCAGCGCAAGGAAACCCCCCTCGGGGGCTTCCCGTGCCGCAGCCCAGTACCCACTTGCCTGCCCAGTTGACTCACCCTGTTCCATGTTGCCCAGGGTGGTGGAAGAGTTCATGTTGATAGGCGGCTGCTTGTTCTGGGAGACCCCAGGGCTGGGCATAGCTGTCTTGGGGGAGGCGACCCAGCCTGGAGAAGGCACCGCCATGGAGGGAGACTTGAGCCTGCTGGGCGAGCCCGTGGGCGACCGGACACTGAGGGAGGAGCTGAGGACCTGGGGCGACTTGAGAGGTCCTGGTGGGTTGGCGGAAGGCAAGGGCACCATCTGTGAGGGAGTCTGGGGAGACTTGAGGTTGGCGGAGGGTGAGGTGACCAGGGGTGAGTGCACCTGGCTAAGAGTGGGCGACTTCAGGTGCCCCATGCCCGGTGAGCCCATCTGATTAATACTGATGGTGAGGTCTGAAGGCCGCCTGCCCAGCCCCCGGTTGGGGGCTGCATGCACGGACCCAGAAGGATTGGACGCAGGGGGCAGAGGCATGTGGCTGAGCCGAGTGGTGCCCACGTTGCCCATGGGCATTGAGCTTTGCTCAGGGCTGAACATGTCTTGGGTATTGCCCATGTCCTGGGACATGGCTTGGTAGGATCCCTGGCCCCCAGAGAATCCCTGCTGGCCCTGATTGGGAAACTGTGAAGACATAAGCATCTTCTGCGGGCCACCCATCATGCCACTGCTGTTCTGGGCCCGAACCCGGGCCATCTCCTCAGGACTGAGGCCCTGGGGCCCCATCATGTCGCTGGGGCCCCGCATCTTCTGCGACATCAGCATCTGCTGCTGCGGGGTCATCTGCACATTCAGGTTCATATTCATGTTCATGTTCACATTCATGTTCATGTTGAGGTTGCCTGGCCCCATGGGGGGATCCACCTCCCTCAGCCCAGACTGCCCCATGGGAGGGCTGAGGAGGCCTCGGCCCCCAGCAAACTCCATGCCCATGGGAGCACCTGCCAGGCTCTCGCCACCAGCCATCTGCCCGGGGAACATGGCGGGATCGATCTGTCGGTGCGCCTGCATCATCCGCTCCATCTCCATGCTCTGCCCCATGCCACCGCCTGCCATGCCCAGGGGACGCTGCATGCCCATTGACCGCTTCTCCAGCAACTGGTGCCGCAGCAGCTCCTCCCGGACCCGAGGGGTCATGAATCGCTCCACTTCCCCTTGCCCACCTGGGTAGGGCACGGTGTTCTGGGCAAAATTGCTGGGTCCCCCCATAGGGGGCAAGTCTTCGGTCCAGCCCATGCCTGGCCTCACAGGCCTCTGCATGGCATTCATGGGTACCTCCATGGGCATACTCTGCATGCCCCCAAACCCAGGCACCCGTTGTATCTGGTTGCCCGGGAAACGGGGACCAGGGAAGGGAGGTCCGCCCCGGAGCTGCATGGGATCCTGGACATCCATGGGTGCTCGCAGCTGTGCGCCCACCCCGGGCGGCCACTGATCCGCAGGCTTGCTGTGGTAGGGCGGCGGGGGCCCTCTCACCATCATGCCCCCCAGGCCCATCATGTCCTGCAGGGGGCGCCCGCCATGCAGACCGATCTGCTCCTCCTTCCGCCGTTTCTCCTCATAGTACTCCTCCTGCAGCTTGCGCCACGCCACCTGCTCAGGCGTGAGGCTGTCCTGGCCCAGCCTCTGCATCATCATGTTCATCTGCTGCCCCATGTCCCCGCCTGGGGGGTGCCCAGGCACTTCATGCTCCAGCGGGGGCCCCCCCAGGCTCTGCGTCTGCGAAATCATGGACTGCAAGGGTTCTTCGTACTTCTTCAGCCCGCTGGGAGGGGCGGTGGGTGGCTGCTGGGGGGCGGGTGGGGCTTGTGCTGGCGGGCCCCCCTCGCCCGTTCCTCCTGGGGGCCCCTTGAGGAAGGGCTCGGTCTCCCCGCTGCGCAGGAGCAGCCGCTCGATGTCTCGAAGCGTCTGGAGGGACCGCTCCCGATGCTCCAGCTGCTCTTTGGACAGACCCTCCGAGCCCACCAGGTTGCGCTGCCCATTTCCGGTGGGGGTGGCCTCCCCCAGCAGGGCAGGGCCGGCGGCACCACCAGGGTCTCCTCCAGGAGGCAGAGGGTTGCTGGTGGTGGTAGCCGTTGGGGTGTTCGGGTGGGTGCCCCCAGCCCCACCACCGGTGCTGGCAGCTCCCACCGAGTTGGGGGCCAGGTCCTGACTGGTGTCTTCGGGAGGCCCCTCTGGGGGCAGAGCAGGCGGGGCACTGCCAGGGGCCGGGGGTGGTGGTGGCGGCAGTGGAGGTGGCTGGGACTGCGGGGTGCCCGCTGATGGTGTGCTCAGGGGCAGCGGTTCTGGGGTGGGGGTTACTTTAGGGGCCTGCAGGAGGACAAAGGCAGAGTGTGAGACAGGTAAGGGGATGTCCCACCCACCCGCTGTTCATGGAGGCGCCATGCCCGGGCCTGTGAGGTTGCCCCTCCGGGCACCACGCTCACCTGGTCAAGCTTGGCCCGAGGCACGTTCTGCTGGTGGTAGGCGAGGATGGAGTCCGCCCGGCCCTGCAGCACGGCCTCTGCAGCCCTGCACCAGACGGTCAGGCGCAGGACTCAGACAGGGGGGCAGGAGGGAGCCCACCCCCTCCCCCGGCTCACTCCCACCCCCTGCAACAAGCCCCCTCAGGACCCCAGGCTGAGGGGTGCTGCCCGGCCAGAGTGAACTTGGCTTCCCCGAGGCACTTACGTGTTGGCCAGGTGGGTGGTGAAGACGTACACAAACTGTGAGGAAGGCTTTCCGGGGACACCCCCGCCCCCGGCCCCAGGGGCATCAGGCCGGAGACCTGGAGGGGGCCCATGTGGGGGGCCTGGTGCGCTGCTCTCGCTGAGGGGCAGTTGGGCAGTTTGGCCAGGACCCAGCGGTGGGGCCGCCATGGCTGGGTCTGCTACATTACAATCTGCGTGAGGACAGAGGAGAGGGAGAGCGGGTGAGTGGCCCAGATGCAGGGAGGAGACCCAGCTGGTACCCCCTTCCCAGGGAGGCTCACTGCCTTACAGCGCGTGCCCCAGGGTCACTTGCTGCTGCAATCCGGTGCTCTCCCCAGCCTGGTTTCCACACTTACTCGCTCTAGATCAGTCTTTGACCAGGATGGCAAGGTTGGTGACCATGTGGAGAGGAGGGGAGGGCGCATGCAGCCCTTTCCAGTGGGCCTCCATGTGCCCAGCATTCCACTGGGCACTCAACAGGTGTCATTTTATCTAATCAACACACCCCTGGGAGGAATGTGCCACACACTCCACTTTACAAAGGAGGAAATAAGTCACTCGCCCATAGTTACACAGCCAGCTAGTGCAGAGCCAGGATCCGAACCCAGGGCAGGACTCCAAATCCTGCCCTGAGCTCACCCTCCTGTCATCGCACATGTGCACACACTCCCTCTAGTGACCCCGAGGAAGGAGGCTTCACAAACTGATGATGCAAACCGACTGACTTTGTCATTTTACGAATAAGACACATCCTCCCTCTAAGCTGCTTCATCTACAAAATGGAAACACTAACCCCCGCCTTGCACAGGGGGCATGCCAGAGAAATATATTTTTTATCAGCAAGTTCAGAACTATGTCAAAGTAAAAGATCAATTTGAAAAACAGAGAGTTAGAAAAGGTGGGCATACTGGGAACACTCCCAGGACAGACCAGCCACCCTCAGCATCAAGAGAAGTTTGGTTCCATGGTGACAAACCTCACTCTAAGTCTTAGCCTAGAAAAGATCCACAGGGGACAGAGGAGGATGATGATGAAAAATGACTTAATGGGTACCATATGTCTTATTTGGGTTGGCGGACACCCTAAAAGCCCTGATTTCACCACTATACCATGTAACAAAATGGCACCTGTACCCCAAAAATGTATGCCAAAAATAAAATCTATAATTGGTCATAAATGGGTCTAGGTGAGTGGCAGGCCCATTCCCATGCCAAGAAAAACAAGTCAAAGCGCCTGACCTGCAGACAGTAAATGGCAGCATTCTCAGTTAATATAGGAAAAATTGCTTGGCTGGGCACAGTGGCTCACATCTGTAATCCCAGCACTCTGGAAGGCTGAGGTGGGAGGGGTTGCTTGAGGCCAGGAGTTTGAGACCAGGCTGAGCAACACAGTGAGACCCCATCTGTACAAAATTTTTTTTTAAATTACCCAGGTGTGGTGGCCCACACCTGTAGTCCCAGCTACTAGGGAGGTTGAGGCAGGAGGATCACTTGAGCCCAGGAGTTTGAGGTTGCCGTGAGTTATAATCAGGCCGTGGAGCTCCAGTGTGGGTGGCAGAACAAAACTCCACCTCTAAACTTGAGCCAGGACAGCAGCCACCTTCCCATGGGCCCAGTGTCAGGCTCTCCTCCTTGGATAGACCATTCCTGGCAGATCATAATGGAGGGGACCCTGCCGCTCCAATTTTGCACAGAAGTACACAGGCAGAAGTCTGGGGGGATCTCAGAGCTGACCTCAGTGTGTGAGGGCCGCCTGGGGACAGAGAAGGTGTATACTCAGTACCTACAACAAGGCTCTTGGATACGAGCTATGGGGAGGGAGGCAGGGTTCAGTTCAATAAGGAACTTTCTAGTACAATGACAACAACAAAAAAGCTAACCCTGTTCTAAGTATATTACATGTATGAACTCATTTACTCCTCATACCAGCCCTATGAGGTAAATAACATTTTTATAGATGAGAAAACCGAGGCCCTTTCCCAAATTTACATGAATAACCTAGGGCGCAAATCAAGGCAGCCTGATCATAGAGCCCATGCTATTAACGTCTGTGTTAGACTGTCCCTCTGTTAAGGACTCTTCAACAATCCAATGGCAGTACAATTAAAATTGTCACAACGGTTGCCCAGGTATGGGATGTCAGCAATTTCCTCTTTGTGTTTTCCTGTGCCTTCTTAGGTTTCTACAACAGTGCAGTCTCGAGTTATAAAAGTGAACCGGGGGTTGCAGGGGTGGGGGGTGCGGGATGTCTGTCCTGGGGGGCAGGCAGAGGCTCAGAGACCACTAGTTAGGCCCACGGGTGGGGGCAAGTCCTGGGACTGGATGGCCTTTAAATCCCCATCCCCCACCTCCACAGACATGGTCCGCTCACTCCTCAACATTTGCTAACTCTTTCCTCTGCAACAAGCATCACAACAACACCTGCCTCGCAGCACTGTTGTAAGGATTAAATAAAATGACATGTCCAGCATACTTTCTTCTTTCTTATTTCTATGGTCCCTGCCTTCAAGAAGTTCACGATTGAACATTCTCTGGCCACTTTCTTACACATTAAGTTATCTCTGCCCCCAAACAGAAGTAAGCTCTGAGGGAAAATACCACATAAATGAGTATGAGCTTCCCAGGGGCAGGGGGTGTGCGTGGCTCACTCACAGAAGGCCCAAACATACACGGATCAATACAAGACCAAGAGGGGTGGGCACCATCCGCGCCCACCCCTTGTCCTGGTGACGCAGCCTGGGTACTTGTCCCGAGTCAATCAGAGGTTAAGGAAGGGTGCCAGAGACACAGCCAAGGGTCAGCTCACACCCAGGCTTAGCATGGCTTTGCACAGCGGAGCCAACTGTCAGCTCCCGGGGAGGCTGGACCTTCACCGCCCTCCCTCTTCTGGCCAGTAGGTGGCAGCATAGGCCAGGAATTAGTGGGCAGAGGCGTAGGTGATGGTGGCCACCTGAGGGAACCCCACCCCACCTCAAGTCCCCAGGGAGAGGACGCCACAGGCCACCCAGAAGGCAGGGGCTGGGCTGTCACAGTGCAGAAAGGGACAGTCTGAGAGGTGGGACAGGAAAGAAGGAGCCTGGGCTCCTGGCCAGCCTCAGTCCTCTCCAGTCCCAGGTAAGGAGAAGGAGGCTCCGTCTGGGCACCATCCCCCAGGGCACCACGGGGCCACAGCAAGTTGGCATCAGTGGGCACTCACTGTGGGTGGCCCCAATGGGCTTGTCGTCCTCCTCGCTGTCGGGTCCAGAGCACCATTCGTCCCCACTGTATGGCTGCTTCCGCTCCAGCACACAGCGCCGCTTACTCCTGGGTGCCACCTCTGCCCAGGCAGGACAAAGGCAAGCAGGGGTAAGACTGAGTGCCCAGAGGCCCTGTCCTCCGACGCCCAGGGTCCCTCCCAGACCCATTCTCTAAGATGCCCCACCCGAGGGCACTGCCCAGGCCATGGTGGGCACTTTGCCAGCCCTTGGCCCCCACCACACCACCATTTGTTTCTGATTTCTCTCTATAGCCCCGGCTGCCTGTCTCCCCTCCCCCCCAACACCAAGCACAGCATAATCCCCAACCACACCAACCACAACTGGTTCTAATTAGGGGGGGCGGGAGGGGAGGGGGAAGCTGCCTGCTCCCAAACGCTCCCACCAGGCAGGATACCAGGAGGCTCCTGGGAGGTGTGAGGGTCTGCTTCTCACCCCAGAGCATCCCCCTTTCCCCCTCTTGGGTACTGGAGGGAAAGCAGGGGGGATGAGATTAGAAGCCCCATCACTCCATGTGACCCCGCCATAGGTGGCACCCTGCCCAAGACCTGGTTGTCGGATGTGAAGAGGTAAGAGAAAACATGCCCATGCATAAATGCTGGAGAAGAGCAGGGATGAGGACTGGCTGAGGAGGGCAGACAGATGGTCTCCCAGCACAGCACATTCAGGCCTTGGACTGTGGAGGATGCTAGGGTCTCAGGGATCAGGAAATGGGGTACCTTTGGCCTCTGAATCCAAGGACGGGGTTCCAGCCTCTCGCTGCTCTCCAGAGTCCACAGACACGCTCCGTTCCCTCTTCACCTTGCCCTTGAGTGAGCTGAAAGGGGGCACCCCTGCCTGGGGGTTCTTCAGACTTGAGTTGCTAGGTGAGATCTGGTTGGCCTTGGCCCCATGGTTCCCCGCCCCCACGCCCTTTGAGCCCAGGTTGCAGGTGGGTCCTTGGTTCACATTCTGGTGCTGGGATTGGGCCCCGCCATTCCCTGTCTTGCCATGATTGGTCAATTTATTTTCTGGGTGCATTGGCTTGGCTGGGGCAGGGGGGCAGTGGCCGCGAGGGGACAGCGGCGGGCTCCCTGGAGCTTCTCTCCTCCTGGGGTGGGGTAACCTGGGAGAAGGTAGGAGAGATGTGAAAAGTTAATCTTGCTAGGGGCTACCCATGCTTGCGCTTTAATTGCCCCATCCTGCCTCACCTAAAGAGGGGAGGGGAGCTGAGTGGCATCTCAAGACCACCAGCTATTCACTCCTCCTATGGCCCCTCAGACAAGGGCTGATGCCCCCTCCACTTCCAATTACAATGAAAACCAGGGCTTTGAGTTGGCAGAATCTACCCACCCCCAGCCCCAACATCCATCAGACTTGCAAGCTTCTGAGGCCACCCCTCTCCTCTAGCACCTGAACAGAACTCAAGCATCCTCTCTTCTAGGGTTTGCTGTCTTCAGACTCCTTCCAAGGTCTCAAACCTGAACTCCCAGGTGTCCCAACATCAACAGAGAAGGGACACAGGACCTGGGGGTCACTGCTCATGCCCCAGTCCCATTCCCCAGGGGAGGTGGGGAAAAGCACACCCAGGAGTGGTACCCACTGGTCCAGAAAGCTCACTAGAGCTGGAGGGGAAGCCCTGAAGAGGGTGGGCCGGCAGGCAGGAGCAGGAGAAAGGGGGAGGGGAGCGGTGTGTCAAGCAGAAGGGAGTGCAGCTTGAAGCCAAGGATTCCTGCAGCCTAGGCTGCGGGCCCTTTAAGCTCCAGCCCGCTCCCCCCGCCGCCTCCCCCTCCCCGGAGACCTATTAATAGCCGCTGGAAAGATCACATCACGGGAGAGGATATTTATCCCCCCTCATTCCACACCAGCTCAGATTTATTTCAGTTCTGCTGTCCTGCTGCTGCCGCCTGGCCCTGTCTGCCGGCTTCTCCTGGGGAGGAGGAGGGAGGCAGGCGCCGCCCCCAACTCCTGTTCCCACCCCCAGCTAGACTGAGGCCAGGGGCTGCCATCCGACCCCACAGTAGGGCGGGCAGGAGTCTGCTCAAGCCATTTTAAGGAGGGAAGACCGAGAAGGGACCAGGAGAAGCAGCAGGCATAGCTGGCTGCCAGTGCCCTCTGCCCCCTGGGCCCAGGCACCAAGGCTGGCTGCGGCTCCTGACTGGTCCAGGCCTTCCCGTGCTAACCCCTGGAGCCCACTGGTGGCCGGGGAGCCAGGTGCCCAGGGGGGCTAGCTCTCCAAGCCCGCACAGCCTGGGCCTTTCCCTTCCCCACACTCCACACACACGTCCCGCCCTCCACGACACCCACACACCTTGTCTTGTTAGCCAGGATCCTCATGGCTCCCACACACAGTGGGGCTACGGCCCCTGTGCGTGCCCAGGGCCCAGCCAGGTACTCGGTACTGGAGCACGGACTGCAGCAACAAGCCCCAAAGAGAAAACTCGTGACTTGGGGAGGGGGTGTGAGAGGGGGAGGGGAGAAGGGAGGACCCAAGAGCCCTGGGACTAGGGAACTGGATAGGGTAGGGTGGGACTGGAAAGGGAGGACTACGAGATGGGGTCTTGATCCTAGAGGCCAGTCTTGTTCCCATCCCTCCCGCACCTTGCCCTCAGGGAGCTTGCAGTCTCTACCAAGCTTCCCCCCCTCCACGGGCAGCAGAGGCAGAATTCACTAAAAGACTGGGTTGCAAGGGTGCCCCGTGGGGCAGCTGTGAGGTCTGCTCTGGCCCCTGGGAGGGACTCCCGCTCCCAGACGTGCCCCTCACCCAGGGTGGGGAACCCCTGGCGTCCCGCCCCCAGCGCTGCGCCCTGCCCCGGGGCTCTCCAGGCGGGGAGGGGGCCCGGGGGTGGGGGGGCAATGTCCCACCCCGCCCCCAGCTCGAGGCCTAGCCCGTGCCCATCCCAGCAGGCCCGGGCGGGCAGCGAGAGGCCTGGCGGGGCCCCGGGGCTGCAGCTGGGCTCTTCTGGAGACCAGTAACGCTGGCTCAGATTCCTCCCCGACCGCAAGAATGCAGGAGCCTCCCCTCCCCCCGCCAGCACCCCCACCCCGCCCCCTTCAGCAGAGCCCGGGCGGAGAGTCAGAGCGAGCGAGCGACAGCCAGCGAGGCAGCGAGCTAGCAAGCGGGAGGCGGACAGGGCTGCAGCGTGGTTCTCCAGGCCCTGCGCGCGCGCGCGCGCGGACAGACACACGGACAAGTCCCGCGAGGGCATGGGCGTGCGCCAGCCCGGCAGAGGCTCGGCGAGCCCTGGGCGCCTCCGGGCAGGGGCGTAGAGACCCACAGGCAGCTGAAGTCTGACTCTCACACACTCACAGCTCACACGTGGACAGGGAGACAAAGACACGCACGGAACCCAGGAAACCAGAGGCGCGCTCACGCCCAACCCGCGGAGGTGTGCCCGAGGGCGAGGGAAGCACTGGCCCGAGCAAGAACCGCTGAGACGGCCTGGGGCGCGCGCGGACGCCCAGGCCGCCCCAGGGCTGAGTGGGAGCTGCCCGACTCATTGAACAGATGCAAAGACTGAGGCCGGCCACAAGGGAGCCGTAGAAAGTTGAGCCTGGTAGTCACAAAGAAACACACACGGCCATAGATACAGCAACAGACTTATACAGACACAGAAGCCTCACCCAACCACCCCCTGCCCCGGCTCCCCCCTCGTCTCCACACCGCCCACCCACCAGCAGCTCAGCCCGGTTAAAGGTGGGGGAGGGAAGGGGTGGAGTCTTGGGCCCAGGAGCTTTGTCCTGGTGACAGGCCCAGCCAGACACGGGTGCACACTCCGCTGCTCCCTGCCCGGCTGCGCTGGGACCTCAAGGTGAGGGGGCCCACCTGTCACCCCGTGGGAGCCTAACCTCAGTTTAACCCTAGGGCACATTGGCGTCCCCACTCCAGCTCTGTCCCTGACGAGGAAGGCTTCTCAGGGAAACGTTCCAAAGTCCAGGGCCTAGCTGGGAAGCAGCCTGCCACCCTGGTCTCCTGCATCACAACCAGGGAAGCCCCAGGCAGGAGTCACAGGAGACACCTGGGCTTAGGGGCAGACCTACAGCTGACATGCACCTCAGGCTCTCACCTTCACCACCTCGCTCATTCCCCAAACTATCTATCTCATGTCACAATGAGGAAACTGAAGTCTGGGAAAAGGAAGTGCTGTGCTCTTGGGTCACGTAACCAGTGTGTGGCAGTGCTAGGACCATCCTTCCAGACACTGCAGTGACACCTGCCCGCCCTCATGACTACTCTGAGCCAGATGGGTGGGCTGCCCCCATTGCAGCCACAGTGCCTGGGCCCCTGTAAGGGGGACAGGAAGGGGCAGAGCAAGGGTCACCCATTACCTCCTATGTTTACAGCCTCAAAAACTGGGGACCTGTCATAATTTGGGGAGGAGGGGCTGTTAGAAAATTAGTCCTCTCCGGTGGCCAGCCAGGCCTAGGCTCCTCCCCAGAAACATCTTAGAGTCAGTCACCCTCCCCTCTAGGACTCCACCCCCTCTCCCACCCAGCTGCAGGGCGAGCTGAGTCAAGCATGCATGAGTCAGGACTTTCCCATCTCACACCTCCCCCCTTTACCCCTCAGGAGTCTGCCTCAGCTTCCAAAGACCCCTCCTCCTCCACCACGCACAGTCCCAGAAGACACCTGGAAGGCCTGGCCAGGGGAGGCAGGAGGGCTGGTTCCTGGCCCTTGCAGTTTTTAAATGAGTGAAGGGGGCTTCCTAGTGTCAGGCTAGGAGCCCCTGAGGTAGAGAAAGCAGAGCGATGGGGCTCTGGGAACACATCACTGTGGCCCCCTCTTAGGGGTAGGTGAGGAGGGGTAACGTGTGCACAAACAGGGAGCAGGTGCGAGTCACCTGAGTGAAAGGCCAGGAGCATACCCAGGAGAATGTGCCCAGAGGAGGCGACTGAGACAAAGAGCCTGAGATCATTTGCCCCCTCTGTGTGACACGAGGGCGAGGAGCTGGCAACCTAAGTGTTGCAGTGGGCTTGCCCCCAGCTGGGGGAGGGAGACAAGGGAAGCTCCCATGCCCAGAGCCCAGAGCCTCCAGGTGTGACATCAAGCTCTGCTCAACACAGAACTGCCACAGGTAGGGCAGCACTCGCACGTCCAGTGGCAACATGCCTATTTCCAGCTGCCCCCTGAGCTGGGAGCCTCTACTTGGTTCACCAGCTAGCCCACCAGTCTCATTGCCTAGCTCAGAAAGAGGCAGTGAGAAAGCTCTATGGAGGGTTCACTGAAGGGTCCACGCTTCCACATGCAGGGGGCAGACAAGACCAGAGAGGAAAATGTGCTGTCAGGACCCCCTGCTGGGAGCGATGGGTATGATGAGACCCTTGGCCTCTGGTTCAGGGAGATCCAGCACTGAGGAGCAACAAGGTCCCAAAACCCCTTTCTCCAGGGTGTCAGGACTCTGTTGGTCCTTAGAAGCTCTCCTCTACCACTCAGGTCACTTCCTCTTCCTGAGCTGGTGACTCAGCCGGGTGGGGAGGTCAAGGATTCATAGCCCAGCAGGAAATCTGCTCAGGGACCAAGGTGTTGCTCCAGGACCCTCTATGTGGGGACTTCCAGGCTTGGGGGGCCTCCCCCTGGCCCTGGTTCCTAGCAGCTCTCTCCACTTCCCCCCACCCAGTGCCAAAGGAGGCCATGCAAATCAACCATTTTTGCTTGGGAGGTTTTGCCTGGGAGTTTCCAACTCCACCCTACCTGCAGCCCCAGGGTAATGTCAGACAACCCCAACTCTAGAGGGCCATGGAAACTCCTGCTCCCAGGCCTTCCTAGTCTGGGATCTTTGAATGGGGTGCTTGGGGCTGGGGGAGGGTACATTCTGCATACTGTCCCTTCTAGAGCCCACAGGTACAAGTAGCATTGCCTATAGACAGGCCTGAGGTCACCTCACTTCTCTTGGCTTCTACAGCCATTGCCAATGTGGCCAGGCCTTGGGAAGCAATCATGCCCTGGCAATGGGGTGCCCCCAAAGACTGCTGCCCAATCCCTGGCTGCTCCCTCCCACAGTGGGGAAGGGTGGAGAGGGGGTGGGGGGCACAAGGAAACAAGACAGGGCAGGAAGCCCAGGCAGGCAGCGGGCACTCTGGGCCAGGCACAAACAGCCAACACAGGAAACCACAGCCCACCCCCGCCCACCCCACCCGCCCAGGGCTCTGGGAGAGAGGAGTGCCAGAAGCCTTGTACCCCAACAGAGGCAAGGGCCAGGGGTTGGCCCAGGACAAGGGAGGAGCAAGAAGCTCTCCAGTCCTCTCTCTGCCCCACACCCTACCTGGGGAGGGGGAAAGGAAGCCAGGCTGGCAGGGATGGTGCTGCCTCTTTAAATCCACCGAAATCCTGACCTAGGCCCAACCCAGCTCTGGTTTCACAGGAAGGAAAGGAGCTCAGGAGCCAATAGGGCAGGCGGTGGTGGCTGGAATTAGCCCCACCGGCCCAAATATATCTAGTCCCCTGCCTGCCACCCCACTGGCACTTCCTGCCCCCTGGCACCTGTACCAGGATGGGGGTGGGAGAGGGTCTAGGTGCTCCTCCTTACCCCGTGGGAGACCCCGATCTCAGGAGGTGGCCTGTTGCTGTGTACATGTAGGTAGAAGGTGACTTCCCAAGCCTGGGCTCCCAGAGTAGGGTGAGATGGGCAGGGCAGATCCCTGTGGGCCCTCACCTGGCCTCAGTCCTCCAAGGGGTTAATGTGGCCCCTATTTAGGGGGGTAGGGGTGGCCAAGGAACCTCCTCCAAACTGCCTGGCTGCTGGGAACAATGGGGCCATTGTGGGAGGAGTGGAGTGCCGCAGACTGCTGGCACAGCCAGTGTTCCACGGGGTGGGCGGGACCTCACCCAACGCCTGCTCTCTCCCCCAGGTACTGCCAGAGGCACAGACATCCTCCCAGCCCCCTAACCTCGCCTGCTGGCCCGAACTCTTGGCGCTAGCAGCACCTGGAGGGCCCTCGAGCTTAGAGCTTAGCCCACGTTGACATCCAGACTGCCATGACCCTCCAGGAAGCAGGGGCATGTGGGCCAGGACTGGGAGGGGGTGGGGGTGATGAGACAGGATGTGTGCCTGTGATCCTCCTGCAAGGGAGACAGGAAGGCCAAATGGGGTTTCTGGTGTCAGTCCTGGCACCCGCAGGCAAGAAGGGCTTAGGGGATTGTGAAATCAGGGACAGGCAGGGTCCCCTGCCCCCAGGCCTCCTTTCCCATGCCCATTCCATAAACCTGCTCTCTGAGGAGGTCCCCTACATGGCAGCCTCACCCTAGGGTTGGGACCCCAGCAGTGTGGCACAGTGGAATGGGAACTGAATTTGCAGTCAGGCAGACAGAGTGTCAGTCACAACCTGCCCCTTCTGAGCTATGTGGCTTTGTCCAACCCTTCATCCCTCTGAGCCTCAGTTTCCTCATCTGCAAAATGAGGATAATTTTATAGAGTGAGATAATAGTAGTGAAACTAACAGAATGCCTAAGACATACCAGCCCTTGTCAAACCACCTCTGCACTGATGTACCCATCTTTACCGCCTGCCATAGCACCCAAATACATGAACATTTGGTAAAGGTGGACATTGTCCAGATATTTGCCCCAGCGGGGCCCATGGGCATCACATTAGTGGTACCAAGTACAAAGACTTGTGTTTTCCTCTCTCCTCCTTGCAGAGGCCAGCTCCTTCTGCGAACACACCCCTGGGCATCCCTGGGCTCACTGCTACACTCAAACCCAGAGCATGAACCCAGAGAGTGGCTGTCCACCCTTTTAGTCCAGGTCTCAAAACCCCAGGAGATGAGTAAAGGGGGCTATCTCTTCAACGATGGCCAGCCTCCCCTCTCCAGGCGCCCCTCTCCCTGCCTGACCCCATGGCAGTCACCTGCAGTGTTTGGGCTGAGACCTGCTGGAGCTTACTCTCTTGCCATGGACCTCTTTGAAGAGTGGAGAGTCTGGGACAGAAAGAACTGACAAGCGGTACTGGAAAGCAAGGGGTCCAGGGAGAAGACCTGTTCTCTTCTCAACTAGAGAGGGCTCTACCTCTCAGGGTGGCCCCACAAGCCCCCAAAGGGTTAACAAGGCCCTAAAAATAACTTGCTCCCAGCAGGACCTGCTGATCGGAACCCTCCAGCCATCTGTTCCCATTTTCTCCTGTTCACATTGGAACATCTGAAACCAGCCCCAGAGCCCCAGCCCGATCCCAAAAATAGCCCCAGCCTGCCCAAGGAACAGGCCCCAGGGGCTGGGCACAGGAGCATGGCCAGCCCAGCAGTGAGGCATGGCCTGGGCAGACTCTGAGCCCTCACGCCCCAGGCCCATGGAAGGGAGGTGTCCTTTCTGGACCCAGAGAGAGGTGGTGGGCTGGCCAGGCCAGAGAGGGCACCTGCTAGGCAAGCCGAGGCCTCTGAACCAGGAGCCCTGGCATTATTGGCACTTCTGCCACATCTTGATCCCCAGGATATTTTAAACACCTGTCTGCATAGCTCCCCTCTCACGGTAGACACCTGATCCCTGCCACCCACCCCTGGGCCCCTCACCTAGAAGTTCCCAAGCCTCAGTCCCTCCAATATCCGCTCCCAGCCCAGGGCCTTTAGGAGCCCTGACCACCTGGCATCACTCAGCATTCTCCCAGTCCCAGGGCACACAGGGCAAAGGCAGAACTTTTTCTAGCACTGCCCATACTCACCCATGCAGCCCAGGGAAGGATTCAGGGGGTGTCCTTTGGACACAGTGGATACTAATATGACCCCTCTCCCTTTATGGGCTTAAGGATGCCCCTCCTTGCCCATCGGTGTCCACCCATCTGGGTCCCTCCACACATCACAGGGCTGGGCACTGCCCTTCCACACTCAGGGAAAATGCCCAGGCAGGTACAGGGAATCCAGGGGACCCCAGTCCCTGAGGCAGGCCTAACAGCTGCCATCCAGGTCACAGCTCCACAGGGCCACTCTTCTCCCCAAGGAAGGTCCCTGTCCTCTAGGTCAGGAAGGAGAGGAGGCCGCCATTTAAGCCATTTAAGGACGGAATGTCTTGTTCGGCTGGTGAAAGAGCAGAGAGCAGCAGGGGCTGGGGCGGTGGGAGGAGTGCTGGAGCTGAACTGAGCAAACAGCCTCAGGGAGGGAGGGCTGGCCCTGGAGACAGCCAGGGAGAGGAGACGTGTCCTAAGCTCTGCAGGCCTCCTCCAGGCGCATGGCTATTTGGCAAACTTGCAATCAAGATGTCAGCCAGCACCAACAGTGGGGAAACTGAGGCAGCAAGACAGTGGATCTGAAAGGGAATCCAGGCATTTGAAGTACTGAAAAGGCTGTCTCTTCCCCACCCCTACACTCCCTCCCTCTCTATCAATTCTTCCCCTGCTGAAGCCCCTGGGAGGGCCAAAAGTTCCTGTGAACAGCTCTGACTAATAATGAGGAGGATGTCCAACATTTATTGAGCATTTACTCTGTAACTGCAACAGTCATAGATGCTTCACATGCATTATCTAATCCTTAGAACAACCCTACAAGAAAGTATTTTTATATTTCCCACTTTACCAATATGAAAGGGGAGGCACAGGAAAGTTAAGTAACTTGCCTAAGGCACACAGCCCATAATTAGAAGAACCAGGATCTGAACCCAGACACTGTAACATTTGGGTTCTAAACCATTTCACAATATTACGGATTCACTGTGGTATCAGTCCTCTGAGCTATGATGAAAGAATGGGTGCCCAGGCCTCACCCACTCATTCCACACCCCTCCCTCCATGCCTGATGTGTACCAGGTCCTGCACTGGGGCCAGTTGCTGCCCAGGGAAGAGATCAAAGACAGCGCAGCACTCCCTACCCCCTCCACACAGGTGCCCTGCCTGGCCTGTGCCTGTGCTCCCCAGCAGAGCAAAGTTCCTGGGCCTCCCCCAGCCCCGCCCACCCCAATCCGTTACATCCTCACCTACCCAGGTCCCTAACGGTCAGGGGAGGGTGCAAGGCAAGTTACCAGGAGGACAGCACAGGGCCAGGCTGAGAGTAGTCCTGGGCTAGGGAGAGGTCTGCTGCCCCTCCCAGGTCCCAGGCGGGGGTCAAAGGTCAAGTGGGACTCGCCAGTGAAGGGTGGAGTCCAAGCCCTGCCCCCACCCACCTGCTCAGCCACACCTGGCCACTGCTCCCCACTTTTTTCAGGGCCTGAACTGAATGCAGGACCACTTCCTCCCTGTCCCCACGGGCAGTGGCTTCCAGTGGGGAGGGTGGGGGCATTCGCTGAGTGGATTAGAAGCCCGCTTGCTCCTCCCTCCTTGAGGACAGTCTAGGAGAAGCTGAGCGCCTCCTCCCTGTCCCCAGCTTTCTCCAGCTTTCCCTAGTCAGACCAGGAGCCCACAGGAGTGTTTGTTGTGAATTCAGGGAGTTGTTGCTAAGTAAGGAAGGAGGGGGCTGGCGGGAGGGAGAGAGGCTGTGTGTGTGTGTGTGTGTGTGTGTGTGTGTGTGTGTGTGTGTGTGTGTACAGGCGCTGCGCCTAGGGGACCAGGGCAGAAACCACACTATGGGGGCTGGTAACCACCCTGGGCCACCCTAGAGGCCAAAGCCAGGGAGGAAGAGCAAGTATTTGGGATACCCAGGGAATCGTACCTTGCCCTCCAGAGCGACTGGCTGAATCTCCCCACCTAGCACCAGTCACACAGCACCCAGGAAAGACCCCGCATAGGAAAGGGCTGGACTCTCACTGGAGTCCAGCTTTAACCCTTCTGGTCCAGCCCCACCCCCACTCCCTACCAGGTCCTAGGTCGAAGGCTTTTTGGCCACCAGGAGCCAGAGGAGACCTCCCTCCTCTGGCCAGAGGGGAATGAAAGGAGAAGTGGGGGCAGGAAGCCAGGAGGAGGGCGCTCAGGAGACAAAAAGCCAAGCGGGAGGCTAAGCCAGGATGATGCGGCTGCTGCAGACAGAGATGGGGAGGCCGAGAAGGACACACATAAGCACACGGACCTCTCACCTCAGGAATAATGTGTGTCGGGCTCAGGCTCAAGGGTGTGGTCTGGGATGGGGGCTCCCTGTGAAGAAAGGGTCACAGCTAGAAGCCCCCTGCCACCCCCGCCACCGCCCCAGCAGTCTGTGCCCCTGCTCCTCCCATCACCCCAGCCCCAACCCCAACACACACAGCATGTAAACACGTACACACGTACACACAGCCTGCAGCTCCAGGAAGTCTCTGAGCTACTCAGACACCACCCCCCCAGGACTTCTGTGGATTGGCTGGGAGCCAGGCCTGACCCAGCTGCCCCACCAACCACGCTGCTCCCCCTCCCTACCCTGGAAGCAGGGAAGGAGAAGGCACTGGAAGACCTTAGAGCTCCCTTAAAGCTTGGCCCACAGAGAGGAGGGGCAGACGACTCCCAGGACCTGGCCTGAGGACCTGGGGGGAGGGTAAGGATAGGGAGGGCCAAGGACCCCAGCTTCTAGCACCAGCCATTCCTGGGTTAGCCTGTGTCAGGGAAAAGGGCGGCTGTGGGTTCTACCTCCCTGTGTGGTCTCCTTGGCTACAGCCCTGGTCCCCTGAAGACACAAAGTCCTGGGGACCTGGTCTGGTTGGGAGGGCCTGGGGTGAGGGACTCTGGTTTAGCAGTTCAGTAGGAGGGGCTGGGTGAAGCTCCCACAGCAGGCGGGAGGGAGGCTGGTGGCTGGGCTCAGTTTGTACTGGGGGGTCAAAGGGGAGTTCTTTTCCGAAGAATTCTGGGAGAGACGCCAACTAGAGCAAGCTGCTAACCACCCCTCCCTCTCTCTCACTGCACTGGGGGGGGTGTCCCTGCCAGCCAGACTTAACCCACTCCAGCCTGTGCTGCTCCCGGGGGTTGCTGGGGAGGAGACCTCTGCCTGGGCTCAACTTTCATTTCCAAGACTCATGAAGAGCAGGGCGTCTGCCAGCACAAGGAGGCTGGATCCACATGGCCCCGTCTGGCACTGCCCTGCCCTGCCCTACCGCCACCTGGGTGACTTTACTGGGCTCATCTCCTGAAGGTGTCTACAATGACGTGTGTGTGCGTGTCTCAGAGACAGAGATTGAGAAATAAACTGAAAATTCCTTGCCAAGGCCCTCCCCCTGCTGGGTCACAGAGCACTGTACCAACCTGTGTCTCTACCCCTCCCTTCCTCCCACTGTGCTATGGGACTAGAGGAGACCGGGGTGAGGGTACAAAAAGGACAGTTTATCCTATGTCCACCTCCTGCTGCTGTCTCCACTGGTCCTTGACTCCTACAAACACCCCTGCCCAGCCCTCACCTTCCTCACTGCCACAAGTGCTTCTAGAAGGAACACATGCAATTACAGCCTGGGATCTGAGAACGGGTCAGAGGGAGGTATCGGGGATTCCAGTGCCCGCATCCCATGCCACTAAGACCATCCTTGCTTTGGTCAAAACAAAACACAAAAAATAATAAACCCTAGGAATCTCCCCTACAGTAGAACACTGTCTAGCTGCAGCATGAGGGAATGAGATTAAACACCAAAAAGGACTTCCCAGGATCAAGGCTACAATGGCAGCTGGCCCCACCCCAAATGCCTAGATTCCAGGGCCTTCTGTCTTCTGCTCAGGCCAGAAATATGAGTATCTTATCTTGCTTAGCTATTTGGAGAAGTCAACTTTTCTAAACCTTAAATTTGCCACCAAGCTCCCAGCTCTGATGGAATTGTTTGTTCCTTGTCCCCAATGAAGTGAGTGACCCCATGGATGGGGGGTAACTCCCTTTCCCCAACTCTTTTCCTTTAGAGCACTGGGTCTCCACCCAGATTGACAACCACCAGTGTCTCAGCACAAGAAGAGGGTGGGCTTTCTAGAGTTATCATTCACAAAAAAAACAAAAGAAAAGAAAAGAAGATGGTGGACCGCTGTTGTAGGGACCCCTCATGGCAGTGGGTACCTGTGAGGGCCAGAGAGAGGGCCCAGCCTTCAGGGACAGTTTATCCCAGTCTCCCCCACTTCACCGCTCTCTCTCCAAGGACCACAGAACTGCCAGAAGCCTTGGCCTCACTCTAGGAAATCTCCCTATCAAAGGGCAGAGGACTCCATGTCCCTGGGAGCTGCAGGGAGACCTGTGACTACACACCCCAGACACGTTCCCAGGGAAGAGAAAGGAGGAGAGAGAAGCAAAGCGCACGCGCAAGTGTGTCTGTGTGCACAAGCGCACATACACACATCAAAGAGACGCGCCCCCAGCACACACACTTCCCAGAGATACCCCAGACACGTGTAGCTGAGACAGACACAATTTCCAAAGACGTACATGCAAAGACATCTCCTAAAAATAACTCCAAACTCTCGAAGAGTGGCCCCTTAAGACCCACAGAGACGCCCATATTCCTAGAGACAACCCCGGAGAGCTCAAGAAACACACACACACACCAGCCAGTCACACACATCACTGACAGAAGCTATACCCACGCTGGGACACGCACACGGTAGTACGCGGCCATGTGCTAGCACACAAACTCAAACACACAACCTTGCAATGCACAGCGTGAAGTCAGATTAGAGGACAATGTTCCAAAGCTCTAGTGGGGAGGAGGGGAGTCTGAGAGGGGTGGAGAAGTACTCAGGGATTTCAAAACAATCCTGGTTTCGAAATGCTGGAAATGCTGGATTCAGGGCCATTCCCAGTTGAGGGGGGGGGGGGGGTGCTGGACAGTGAGGGGGAGGGGAGGACAAGCCAGCCCAGGGCTGCCAGCCCATGGGAGAGGGAGAGGGGCTGGACAGAGGGAATCCCAGCCCCTGTGGAAGGGGACCTACAAAGAGACACCAAGGTTAGGAGGGGCACCAGCCCAAGGCCAAGCAGGGAGGGCCTGGGCTGCTGGGAAGGAGTCAAAGGAGAGGCCTCTGCTTTTGCCACAGATAGGAAAAGTAAGAAGGGGGTTGGGGGGTCTCCTCTCCCCACAAGACGGACAGTAAGGGAGAACCTGTTTGTGTCCCTTCCCCTACGCACAAGCAGCAGTGACCACCTCCCCTCCAGAGTGGCATCCTGGCTCCCCTTCCCTATCCACCAGCAGAACCCCAAGGTGGGCCAAAAATAGGGGGTCAGAGAGTGTGGGGGACAGCAAGGGCCCGCAGGATTCAGGGGTCTTCCACGGGATCCAGGATGCCCCCTACTCAAGGCAGGATGGGGGGCATTCCCCGGGAAACCCAGGGCTTCCTGGGACCTTTGGGGGACTGAGGCAGTGTGACATATACCCACACCCAGGAAGTCACCCCTTCCAAGGCAGCCAGCATGCTCTTACCGCCAGCCCCTCCTCCAACCTCTAGGGAAAGTAGGCAGAGCTCTCCAAGGAGGGGACAGAGGGGAGGTCAGTCTAGGCTGGGGGTAGGGCTCTAGAGGCCTGGCCCTGGCACCAGGCAGAGGAAATTCCAGGCTGTAACTCCAGGCTGCCTCCAGGGCCACTCATCCAAGTGACATGCACCAACTCAGGAGCTCTGGTGCTGTGGCCTTCCTCATCTAGCCCCTCCACTCCTGACCCTGGCTACCCAGCCCTCCAACTGGCTCCAGCCCCAGCCCTGGGAGTTAAAGGACAGGACTTGGGGGAACTTAGTCCCCCTCCTCAGTCCTGGCAGAAGCCCCCACTAGTCCCATCCTGGCCCTTCTGGCCAATCAGCTCCTTTGTCCAGATCTCTGGGGGCAGCCCCCACAGTGTGGCTATGGGTGGGCAGCTGTCAGGGCTGGCAGGCAGGGGCAGAGATGCCAAGCTAGAGCAGCCAGGCGCTCAACAGGTTGAGCCAGTCCCTGGAACAGCTGCCCCACCCCAGGGAGAGCGGGCCTGGCAGAGGCTCTCTGCCCGCGGCACCCAGCCTGTACCCGCTTGGCTCCCACGGCTGCCCACTTTCCCACGGTGCTATCCCCCTGCCCCCTCCCCCCAAGTCAGCACCCAGGCAGTGCCCAGGGCCCTGGTACAAGGAAAGAAAGGATGGCATTCCTCTGTCACCCTGGGTGCCGAGGCTCTTGAGGTATCTCGCTACCAGCAACCAAGTAGCTCCAGAAAGAGTAAATATGGCATCAGGGCAAAAAAGAACCCCAGAGTGCCCCCACCTCTTTGCGGGCCTCTTCTCATCCTGGGAAGACTGGACACTCAGACACCCTGGCTCCCTGGAGCTGCCCCAGGGTGCTGGGACAGAACTTCAGAGTGTGGTGCCAGAGGCAGTGTGGGGTGCCCCCAGCTCCTCCTCTTAGATTCCTTGGAGGAGGGGCTGCAGAGCTGGTGACAGTTGGCTCCCTCCACTCCTGCCAGAGCTGCTGCTGCCGGCGACCCTGGTCCTTTCCTCCCACCCCACTCCTGGGCTCCACAGAGCTCCATCCCAGCCGCTCCCCCAACAGGCGGGCAGCCCCCCTTTGCACAGCATCTCCTTTAATCTAAAGCAGGTGCCAGGCATTCCAGCCCTTGCTGAGTCCACACTGCCACCCCCTAGGACTCAGCCCAGAAGGCTACTGCCCTGTCTGGTCATGGAAGTGGAGCCCTCAGCCTAGGGCTCCTGCTTAACCCAGGTACCAGGAGCTGGGAGACAGGAACCTGCTAAGTGGAGTCATGGGTGCCCAATGCAGATTCAACAAGCAAGATCACTAGGTCCCGAATTGCCACTGATGCGCTAGCCCCAATTTCTGTGGTCCACCAATCCTTTTCTAGGACCCTGGATATCTTCCCTCTCCCTTGACTCCCCATCATCATAGCCAGGGATTCATTCTGAGCCTTCAAAAGCCATCTCCAGCCATGGGACCCCTGCTACCCCAGGCACAAAAGTCACTCGGGATCCAAGATTATAGGTATTCTACCCCTCACCAGCAAGCCAACCATCACGAACCCCCACGCCGACCCAAACAGGAGCAACAGGGGTAAGCAGAGAACCCCTAAAGGAAGGTGGCCCAGAAGGCTGGACTTCTAGGCCTGGTCCTCCAAGGCCAAGGAGGCAGACCACCTGGGAGAGGTAGCACCTTCCTTCCTGGCCTCAGACTCCTAGTCTCCCTCCCTGCCCCTCACCTTCCTAACAGGTTCTCACCCTATCCTCAGGCCTCTAGCTGCAGGACCTCAGAGCTGACACCAGGAAGACAGGGCCTGAGCATGCTCTTCCCCTGGGGCCATGAAATCACGGTCCTGACCCAGAGAAGGCAGCCAAGCCTGTGCTGAGGAGCAGCAGAGGAGCTAGGCAGCCCCTTCCCAGAAGTGGCTGGTCCCAGAGAGGCTGAGGAGAGGGGCAGAAGAAGGGGAGTGGAAGCCAACCCAGCCTCACTCGGACAGCTGCTCAGAGGCATCTGCAGGGTTACAGCAGATACAGTTGAGACAGCTTTCCTAGGTAAACCAAGGCTGGGGACAGGAGGGCAAAAGATCAAGGGGGCCCTGGAGCCCCTTTCTGAGCTCTCAGACACATGCTCAGCACACCTCTCCGAGCCACACTCTCCCTCCCTGCAGCAGAGGTCCCCCAGACACAGAGACTGACACACACCCCAAGCAGCAGACAGACAGAAAGAGGAGGGAGGGGGTGTCAGAAAAACCCGGAAGGAAGGAAGCTGGACAGACAGACAGAAGTTGATCCTGGCTTCACTGTTCCAGAAAGACACCCTGCAGACTCCCAGACTCTGAGCGACATTCTCCTTCTCAGCCTGCTCAGTCTCTCCTGAAATCGAATTCCAGCAGCCCTGGAGTAGGACCTACCCCAGCCAAGCAAGAAGCCTAAGCCTCACTTCTCTTCCCCACATTCTTCCCCCAAGGGCTCCTATGGACCAAGGCAGGGGCCACCTCCCCTTAGCAGTGCAGGGACACCTCCAAGGAACTGTGACTGCCCCACCCCCCCAGCCAAGCCCACACCACTCTGAATCCTTGGCAGGGCATAGTCCTCAGTCACAGCCCCTGAGGCTCATAGGCACTGCCTGGGGACACAGGGTGACCCCCAGCCCTCCTCAATCCCAACCCACCTTCTTCTGGAGGCTCCCATCAGCCAGGAGAAGAGTACTGGGGAGCTGAGACCCACGGGGTTGGTGAGCCTGGGAGGGGGACTACATCTCCCAGAAGCCCCCAGGGCAGGGTTCGCTGCTCCAGCTGGCCCAAGGCCGGCCTTGTTCTCTGCGCTAGGGTGGCAGGGTCCCCTGGCTGCCCCTAAGTCCTCCCCACTGTGCTCTGGGGCTGCCAACCTGATTGGGGGCCTAAGAGTAGCCTCCACTGACCCTGGGGGCGTACCCCACCCCCTAAACAGCCTGGGGGTGCGTGCCAGAGAGCAAGAGACAATCAGACTGTGTTCCCCCTCCCCAATTCGAACTGGCTCTCCCTCCTCCCGCCTCTGCTGGCCTGGCATGACTTTTGCCCTCGCCCCCAAGCCACCCCTCACCTCGCGCGGGTTGGGGGTCCTCACGCCAAGCCGGAGCTGGACGCCATGACCAGGTCAGGGTCGGTGGGTGGATGGGGGTCCTCCTGCTCGCCAGTTGGAGGTGCAGAGGGGGCGGGCAGGCGGTGATCTTTTGATCCTGGACGCCTTGATTTCAATACCAGCCCGGCCCGGGAGAGGGTATCCGGGGATCGCTGGGCGCCTGGGTTCCTGCCTCCCAACCGCGGAGCATGGTCTTGGGCGCCGGGCAGCGGCGGGAGAGCGCGCACACCCGCTCGGGCCGGGCTCGGGGCTGGGGTCTCGGCCCCGAACCTCAGGGCTCCGGCTCCTGCTCCTGCTCCTCCTCCCTTCCTTCCTTCCTTCCTTCCTTCGCCTCCTCCTTTCACTTTCCCCGAGGCCCGCGGGGACGGCGGGCGCGGGGCGGGGAGGGGGCTGTCTGGTTGCTTATTGTTGGTCGGACGCCGAGGGTCCGGGTCGCAGCCCCCGGGCGGCGCGGCGCCGGGGGACCCAGGCGTGCGGGCGTCCAGCTGGCTGGCTCCGGGCGGCGGCGGTGGTGCAGCGGCCCCGGGTCCGGGGCATGTCCGGCCACTGGCTCCGCCGCGCGCCGCCGCGTCTCCGGGCTCCCCTGCACTGCCGGAGCCTCGCTCGCCCCTCCACTCGGCTCCTCTCCCCAGCCTGAATAAGCATCGGGGCTCTCTGGCTGCCTCCTTCTGCCTTCATACCAGAGCCCAGAGAGGCCCCTGTCAAAATAAGAGCTCCCCCATCTCGCTCGCCTCCTCGCTCAACCCGGCTCCCCCAGCCTCCCAGTGGTCTGACTCGGTAAGGCGCCCGGCCGGCTAGCGGGAGGCAGGTTGGCTTGGGGAGGGGGGCTTCTACCCTTCTCTCCTCCCCGCTCTCTAGGATTGGGGAGGAGACGCGCCAACAACATCCCAGGCTAGGGAGAGGTTTGACAGACCTACCTTCCTATCTGCACTGATTGGAAGGAGTGGGAGTTGCCTGGACACACACACACACACACACACACACACACACACACACACACGACTGAGGCTGAGTCCCCTCTTCATTGTACCCACCCACATCCATTATGCACTGAGCATCTCTTTATTCATCTCTCTCTCCTAGTAGATCATGAGGTCCTCGAGGACACAGACTGAATTTTTTTCATCTCGATCTTCAGCAGAACAAAGTGGATGGTGAGAAAATCTTTGTGAAAGTGAAACCTTTGTCTTCTCATAAGAACTCTCTCCTAACCTCAAAGTCCTTCTCTCTCTCTCTCTCTCTCTCTCTCTCTCTCTCACACACACACACACACACACACACACACAGAGGACCCTATAGGACAGTTAGATGCACTTTTTAAGCAAAAGAAAAAGAAATTGTGAAGCACTTTTTAAAAGGATTTCACATATTATTTCAGTGTTACCACAAACCTTCGAGAAAGATATTATGGTTCCATTACTCAGGTGAGGAAACTGAGGTTTACATTACCTAAAGACTTAGGGATACACAGCTAGAAAGGGATAAGCCCAAGACTAAAATTTGAATCTCCTTATCCTAGGGCACTGGTATCCTACTGCCCCCATGCACTCAGAATCAACAGCAACAAGTGACAAACATTGACTGCTTCAAAAAGGAAAGTCACTAGCAAGCCTGCTAGCTCCTGCAGTCTGTTTCCTCTGCCCTCTGCCCTGGCCCTTCTCACAGAGGGGCCATAGATAGCTGTAGCCCTCACTGATTTCCCTATCATGTCTATGCCATCCGAGTACTTCCTTCTATGTTTTATCTCGTTTTTCCTGTGTGTATGTCTGGTCACCCCAAAAGATTCCTGAGGGCCCAGACCATGCCTTCTGGCCTCTGTATTCCCCACAACACTCAGTGCTAGATGGGTTCATTGTAGGACTTCAATAAATACTGACTTGATAACTTAATGGTACCAGCAGCAGGGCACTGGGCACAGTCTGGGGAAGCACAGGTAGAGGGGGGCACAAACCCTGAAAGTAACCTTATGACCCCTTGCGTGTGCCACCACAGTTTACAAGGCACGTTCATGCACATTATTTCATGATCATGCTTTGATCCAAACAACAAAACATTCCCAAGTGCCTACTAACTGCTGTGCCAAGCACTGTGCTAGGTTAGAGGTTCAGTCATCACAATCCTGGGAAGTAGGTTTTATCCTCATTTAAAGGAAAAAAAGCTGAAGCCCAGAGAGGCTTCTTGTGTGAAAGTTCCCAGCACCTAGGATATACCTGACCCACAGGAATAGGGTTTAGTTTCTTCTCTTCTTGGCATGGATGTGGAGAGATAGGAACACTCATACACTGCTGGTTGGACTGCAAACTAGTACAACCTCTATGGAAGGTAGTAGGGAGATAGTTCAAACAACTAAAAGTAGAACTGCCATTTGATCCAGCAGTCCCACTACTGGATATTTACCCAAAGAAAAAAAAGACATTCTATACAGATGCAAAGACGAGAAAGAGAGAAAATAAAATTTCTAACAAGTATAAAGAAGAAAAAGAAATAAGGGCGGGGGTTTCGGGGCCGCAGTCGCTGCCCGCGGCCCTCACGGTTGCCCTCGACCCACATCATTCATTGCTTGGCTGGGCCCACACCCACTCTTGATGAGACACCTTCCTGGGCCTGAGGAGGGATCCGGGCACCTTTCCCACTACTCCAGCTATGCCCTGGCTTCCTGATGAGATGGGTGATTATTATGATAAGGACATTGCTGGACAGACGGTGCCAGCGCTCGGAACATTTGGCCCCCTCTTCGAAAGCCTGCCCCAGGGCCTGCACCTGCCGCACAGAGCCTGCTTCAGTTCTGCCGGCGCCGAGCACTACGCGCCTCCCGGGGCGGAACGCCAGGCCGCTGGGTCACGTCTTGAGATGGGTCGGCGCCCTGCAGCGTCTGTCAGGGTCAGGCCTGCAGGAGTGTGCTCTTTGCCGGCGCTCCGAGGATTGCGGGACCCACCTGGCCCTCCAACTGAACTTGGAACTTGGAGCCGTAGAGGTGGGCTAGGGACGAGGCCAAACTCAGAAAGGGAAGGAGTTTCGCAAAGGTGCGGGGGGCAGGAACCGGAGGCTGGGAGAGGGGCCGGCAGGGGCAAGGGGAGGACTCTTATCTGACCGGGCTCCCGCCTTCCCCGACTGGAGGGTTTGGAAAACTGAGCAGGCAGCCAAGGCTTGGCTGGAAATCCTGCAGCCCACCTCCTGGGGGACCAAAAGGCTGAGAGGGCGCGGGCAGGCGAGGGAGGAGAGCACGACCCGAGGGCAGGGCTCTTCTTGGGGCTGGGGCGCCCAGGGCCAGGTCCCTGGGGAGGGGGTTCCTGGCGCTGTCTTCCCTGCAGTCTGCTTCCCTTCCTTCGTCTGCCCCTCCGCTTCCACCCTCCTCCCTCTCCCCGGCCAGTCTCAGATTGCGGGCAGACCTTAACTCTTTGACGTGCATGCCCGGATGGACTTCTGAGTGGTGACGGCCAGAGGGAAGGGGGAAGGAGGGAGGACTCTGGACCCCACTCCTCACCCACGGTTTACACTCTGTAGCCAGGAACGCCAATCCGGAACTCGGGCTCGGGTCACATCCTCGAAAGGCTCTCGGTTCTAGAGGAGCAGGCGCGCAAAGCTTGGCACCTGAGTCCTTGCAGAGCCAGTCGGTCCGTTGCCATGCTTGCTGTCTAACCCCACCCCCTCCTTCTGAAGTCTCTCCCCTACTCTTTTGGGCCCTCCTCCCACCGCAAGGCTCACCCCCACCACCACGTTGCTGCCAGGCCGCTTCCAGATAGAGGGCTGCGCGGGAGGCCGGAAGTCTGGGTTCGTGTAGCTGTCTCAAGCATTCTCTGTACCCGCTCTGAGCCACCGCAGTGACCACAGCCGTCTCCAGAGTGTGTCTTCACCCACCCGAGGGTCGTACTACCGCAACGAGCAGTGGTAATGCAGCTCTCCCAGCTCGCAGTCTAGAGACAGGGACTGAGTAGGCTGGCAACCCTGACTTCCCTCTACCCTAGCCCCTCCTCAGCCACAGCCCGTCTCTGTCAGATTTGCCCCCTCAGTTCTGCCAGCGAATGCCTCCTGCCTGGGGGATCGTACCGCAACTAGGTCAGGAGGTTAACGAGCTACGCTCTAGTGGGAGCACAGAAATGACACCGCATCTGGCCTAGGGTGTGTTTGGGTTGTGGAAGGGAGGACGCTGACCTATAGAGCCCGCTTTTTTATTTGCCCCTGGCGGCCGATCTGGCTTAGCAGCCGCTGGCCAAAATATGCCATCGTGGGTATCGCGGAAGAAAGCACTGTGTGACAGTTAGAGTGCTCCTCTTGAGGTAACACCAGCACCTTTCCAGGGAAAGAGATCCTCTCTGGAGGCTGTGGAAGGAGTGAGCTTCCACTGAGTCGCTTGCCACACCATCCTCATTCCAAGGCTGCTCAGCCCACTTCCAGACCTTGCCCTAGGGACTCTTGACTGTGGGTCCCAGGCCCAGACACTCGATCTCCCAGTACTCTCCGTGTAAAGAAGGGGTCACGAGGAGGACGCTGCTCCCTTGTTTTTTCTGCGCACAGCCTTCCCAGAGCCCATTCACTCCACTCCAGTGTCAACACCAAACATCTAGCTAGGCTTCAAAGCTCCTGCCCAGCTACGCCACCAGACTCCTGAGGGATTCTAGGGTGCTTCACAACCTTCCTCTTCATCCTCACATGGGCAAGACCTTTCTTCCGTCTACCCAGAGGCCTCCAGGTTAGCAAAAGCAGCAAGTTTGAGGGGGCTTCTCCACCCTGTGGCTTTTAACTGTCTTACTTTTCCCCCTCTTTCATTTTCCACTACTTTCTTCTTTTTTTAAAACAGCCAGTCGTGCTTTGTGCCGCTAGAGGTGGAAGTGCGGGGCATCAGCCAGCTCCACAGCAACTACGCCTGGGCCAAGCAATTCTCCTTGCTCAGCCTCTCGAGTAGCTGGACTACCAGACATTGCCCCCATGCCCGGC